AATGACATGAATGGTTACGACGACAAGGCCTAGGCCCTATATTGTGTTGCCGTAAATTAAACCAAAGACCCACCAGTAAACAACAAATCTAGATTCTAGTTGTTGTTATTGAAATATCAGCCTTTCTTTTATGTTGAACATAGTTACTTGAGTGAGAATCGAGAGGGTTTATTAATTTTCAAAACCTAAAATACTGTGACTACAAAAAAAAGTATTTGTGGGTGTCTTCATTTTTATGAAAGTAATACATGTACTAATATATTGCTACTGATTTAGACAGTGGGGACAAGGAGTTGGAACAGGCAATCAGAACAGACTATCATTTTTTTTTAAATAGACGAATGGTTTAACCTAATTGTACTAGGCTCAGCCTGTGACCCGCATTATTACTATTATTAGTGGAGATAGCTTGCTTTGGTTAAACCCAAGGTGATGTAAGTGCCGTCTCCCCAAAACCCTCTGTTACGCACAAAGATACATGGTGTGATATAAAAATTATTATTCGTCGTATGCGAGTCGCGAGTGGTTCCGTTTACCACAAACGAATTGTTTAGATCAAGGGCATCGTACTCAAAATTTCTAAAATTTTTAGTAAGTGTTTTACGGCACTTGCAACATAATAAGGTCATATAAGTGTGGAATATTAGAGGTATTACACGAGAGCAATAAACACAAAAAAGAAGAAGGGGAGAAAAGGATGATAGATGTTTGATTAGAAAGAATGAGCAAACCACACCAGAGCACCCAAAAAGACATATATAGATCTAGGTCTTTTACACTAGATCTAAAAAAAGCACCTGTTTTATAACCGTTGTTAAGTTGTAGCAGGATGTTCCATGGTACATGTACTAGCAGAGCAACACAATTAGGCCATTATGATATGGGTGCCAAAGATAAAAAGTGTTACTAGAAGGAAGGAAAGGAAAAGGGATAAGGTCGATAGAAAGATCATGTTTGATACGAAAGAAGGAACTAGCAACACCAGAACACCCGCCATCCACCCATGAGCAGATGCAATACTGTAATCAACTGAATCTGAATATGACATACTATAAAATCAAAGTTGTTTAGTTTTAGTATGTGCTTTAAGGCACTTGCAACACACAATAATATCATACAAGTGCCGGAGGAGATCTCTGAGAGAAACAAACACAAAAAAGGAGGGGAGATAAAGATGATAGACGTTTGATAGGAAAGAAGAAGCAAACCACACCAGAGCACCTGCCAACCATACAGTAGTTATTCAGTATAATTTGTTCAATTTCACTAGAACTTCTTGTATCGACCCTATAATATTAACAGAAAAATTCTGATATACAAAAGTACAATCATAAAGGCTTGACATTTTTAGTCACTCCATTGTTCATGCAGACATCTATGGCATAATCACACACAAGTCGTGAAGTGAAGATCGTAAAATTGGGACATGATAGCAGCCTACAGGAGGGAGAACCATGTGTGTGTGTGTGTGTGTGTGTGTGTGTGTGTGTGTGTGTGTGTGTGTACGTGTGCGTGTGTGTGAGTGCGTGTGTGTGTGTGTTTGTGTGTTTATGTGCTCTCTCTCTCTCTCT